TTGAGCTGCAATTTTTGACGTTTCCTTTGTGATGGGTTTTGTTTTGTTCTTGATCAACATACACGTAGAAAGGCACTTTCATCGGGGAGAAGTTATTTATGGAGGATTTGGCTTTCTTTCATGAATGGGTTTTGAGGAGACTGCTGAATCAATGTGAACGTACCTTTCTTTAGCTTTAGATTTCATGCCTTTCAAAATGAAGTGGACCTTGGAGGTTTTGTATGATTCTAAAGTTACAATGGCCGTGTGGGACCAAGTTTATTTCATTTGGTCCCGCCTCTTAAACACGTGGCAGGAGGGATTTGCTGGACCAGTATCCTCATATCACTTTATAAACGAGAGAAAGCTTTCTACGTTCCCTTCCAATATGGAAGTTTTATGTTTCTCCTACCATTCGGCTGTCTATTTTTTTTATCAAGAGAGTCACTCATCATTTGATCTTAGATCCGACACCTTTAATTATTTTATTTTTTAACTTTTTTTTCCAATACAACTTTTTTTAATATGAAATTTGGTACGTACCATCTTCTCATTGGGGCACACCTATAAAAAATATTAACAATAATTTTTCAATAGAAAATAATAACCAAAATACCCCTTCAAACTTTCAGGGTTTTTGATCATTTTATTTTATTGAAAATATTGTTTTTATATTTTTCGTTAGTGCGAGTTTACTATAGGAATGAACGTCCGAAATTTTGTGCCAAAACAGTTTATAAAAAAAAAGTAAAAATAAAACAGTGTAGAGACGTGATATTGTGATTGGGACAATCTTAGCCCACCATTCAAAAATGGACGGTTGAATAAGGGGAACATAGAACTTCTATGTTATAGGGGGAACATAGAAAGCTTTCTCTATAAACAACCTCATCACTTTGTTTTGTTTTTTAAAAGTTTAAAAAAATGGATATGTGACTCGAATCGGTCACTCACATACCAGTGTCGAATCGGTGAAATCGACAATTTTTATCTTAAAAGTTTTTCAAACAATCACTATAAACTTCTAAAAATAGTATTCTTTTAATTCCTAAAAGAAGTAAGGAGTGGTACATTATGTACTTTCGTTACTTTGTAAAAACAGGTGAACATTGAGACCTTATTTTCCTATTTGGATGTATAATTAATAAATAAAATATAAGATTTTGTTATCAATATATAATTATTAATTGTAATAAACATGATTCAAAAATTTATAAATAACAACTTAATACAATCCAAAATTGTATCAAATTTTTATTACACTATAAAATAAGTTATTAAAGTACTAACAAATTAACAATAAATTAATTGCAAATATTAATAATAATTAATTGTTAATTTTTAAGTTTCAGAAAACAATTGGGGTGTTACATTATGTACTTTCATTTTTTTATATAAATACGTGACTACTGAGATGTTTTCCTATGTATAATTATTTATTGTATAATTTAATACTATAGGATTGCATCAAAATGATTCAATTTTTTTTAAAAAAGTATAATTTATGTGATTAAAAAAAATAATACCTTTTCCAAACTGAAATTAGTATCACATAAAATATTTATTAATTCTATTTGCTCATCTAAAATTATAACAACCTCACTAGTTATAATACTATATATTGAATTTGGAATTATTGATTTATCTTTTATTATTATTTTACTATACAAATTAGAATAAATTTAATTTTTATTTTATAATATCATCTAATTTAAAAATCTTATTGACAACTATAGCAAAAAAAATAATACATCACACACCTGTAATGCAAATGAATTAAAAAATAAGATACAAGAAAGTGATTGTTAATAGAGTAGGAGATCAGAGAGAGAAGCCTAGGCGAGTGAGAGAGAAGCCATGGCGAGAAAGTGAGAGGCATAAAGTTAAAATTTTGCCTTTATAAAAGCTATGCTGAATATAATCTCGAGAGGGAGAGAGTAAATTCTGCAAAGGTGAGAGAGTGTGAGTGAAGAAGTAATCTTGTATCTTTGTTTGAATATCTTGTGCTTTATATTTGAATTAATGATAAATCGTATGTTATTGTTAAAAAAAAAGAGAGAGTGAATCAAAAAAGAAAAACAATTTATACCACGTCTAAGAGTTAGAAAAGTGTGAATGACTATAAATTACTTTACAAAAGAAGCAACGAGTGCATATGAGCACATTGCAGGGGCATGGACGATTGGTGTACGATGGATCGTTGGCTTCCCAACCTGCGATAGAGGAAGGCAACTTTTATGGTGTAGATGTTGGTCTTTGATTTTACAAAAGAACTTCAAAAATGCCCGTTGCATTATATTTTTTTAAACATGGACTCTAACCCGATCATTCGGTCCAATTTTTGAACCTATACCCGAACCGTATTGGGTGTAGGTCCATTGCTCCAAAATGCAATCCAAGACTAAATTCTTACCCTCCATTTGATATATATCTTTTGTCTTTGTTTTTACAAAAGAACTTAAAAATGCCCGTTGCATTGTATTTTTTTAAACATGGACTCTAACCCGATCATTCGGTCCAATTTTTGAACCTATACCCGAACCGTGTTGGGTGTAGGTCCATTGCTCCAAAATGCAATCCAAGACTAAATTCTTACCCTCCATTTGATATATATCTTATGATATATATTAGATATGAGTAAATTTAAGCTAAATAAATTCTTGGAAAATTAACCCCTTCAAAAACTATTTAATTTCATAACTAAACCTTTTTTTTTTTTTCAACTACCTAATATTAATTTTTGGAAAAGTTTATAATGAGATTATTTACTTTTGTTACGCGGTAGTCACAATTACTAATTACTCTTGACTATTGAATGTGAAATTAAGTAGTTACATTTATTTCGTTCATTAAATTCAAAGTTAAAATATTTTTTTTTCGAATTTTATGACATACTCAAATTATCAGATTTCACATCATATAGTTATAAATAATTATGACCTCCCTGTACTAGATGTAAAAAGTCTCATTATATCCCATCTCTTAATTTTTATAAATATTTATCATCCTATCCCCTTATTACATTGCTATCTTTTCTTTATTTTAACCTTTTTAACTATCACAGGAATTGTTTTTACTTGAATAACTCCTCCTCCTAATCTCTTGCTTTATGAGAGAGAAGACATAGAGGATGGGAAGAAATTGAATATTTTGCTTGAAATAATTATTGAGTAAAGATGACAAAGTAAAGGAGGGAACTGATGAGGGGTTGGGGTGGCATGTACTTCTAAAAATTACTTACTTGTGACCGGAAAAGTGTAGGGGTTATTATAAAATAATAATAATTTTTTTTCTCGAGGGATGTGTGTCAAATGTACCCATGATCCTTTTGCCGATTGTTCTTTTGAAGCAACTGAGATGTTTCCAGAAAGTCCCATCTAAAAAAGACGTTTTGTCAAAGTTCATGGTCCCACAAACCCGTAAACTTAGATGTGTTGGCTGATGGACCAAATATACAATTTCATCCGACAAGACTACATCCAACACCAAACAGTTTATTGTATATCACTAAGTTAAGAAAAAGAAGGGAAAGGCAGCACTAATAAAGTCATGGATTTTGTCGAAAATTGTGGGGCCCATTAAAAATTAAAGGAAAAATATATAATGGGAGCATTTATCTTTAATATAAGATGATCATAATTAATCTTGACTATTGAATGTGAAATTAGATTACTACATTTATTCTATCGATCAAACTCAAATTTTAGAGTAATTTTTTTTTTAATTTTATAATTCACTCAAGCCCTAAGATTTCACATGGGTAGTAAATGGTCTCAGTGTATACAATCCCATTTGAAATTGGGGTATTGCGACGGTCCTAAATTTAGTAAACAATGTCATAAGTTGTTATTCACATCTATAAGATTCTATGTTGGCTTAAGGTAGATATTTAACACAACCTTTTAAGCCAAAAACCGATTAAGAAAAGAAACGCTTTTTAATTCCAAATTTTTGAAAAGCTTGTTTTCAAATTATGTGTTGAAACGTTTCATATTAATTAAGATCATGAAATTTACAAATCATGAGATCTGTATTATTTTTTTGAGCTACAAAACTATAGTTGTTAAAGTATATTTATGATAATTTCACATCAAATGATTGTAAAGTAAATGGTCTCATTGTATACAATCTCTTTTAAAAGCCCCGGTTTGAGCATACTACTGTGCTCAAGGCTGCACAATAAACCTATGTACATATTTTGGAAGCCACCACTTCCATGGCTCGATACATGAACAACGGTTTCCCCAAAACCATATAAATTCTAAGAACTGCCAAAAATATTGATATTTATTACAAATATTTTTTAAAAAAGTGCTACAGTTGTAAAAACCGGTGCTTCCAAAAAAAACCACGCCCAAAGGGGATTAATGACTTTCCATTGCAGCATCACTCGGCAACCGATAATCTTGAAGGAAATCTCTCCCCTCTCTCTCGTATCCAAATCTTTTATTTTCGTGTTGCACTTTTTACGGAAGGGTGCAGTCAGTTGTGGTTTCAATATTGAAAATATTTGTGATGGGTTTAAAATATATTTTTATATTTATTTATAACTTTTAAAGTTTTAAAAATAATTTATATCAATATATCCATGAAAATATGAAAATCTTAAAAATTAACGGTCAAAAAATACATTATAAAATACACTATTTTCGAAACTTTGAAATCTATTTTTTTCTCATGTCCATGTCCATGCATTTTGATATTGAAATGATTGATTTGATGATATTTGAACATCAAAAACAACTTCTTCTAGTAAAATTTTTGAAATAAAGTCAAATTTGATTGTTTGAAACCTCGGCTCTATATAAGCTTTTCCCTTTACGAAATATTAGGAGGTTTAATTTCTTGTGCGCACGCCCGTTTGGAGAGACTTTAAATTTGGCGCATCCGTCGGTAAATTTAGCCCCCATTCTTATTTTACCATAATGCCCCTCAAACCGAATCATTCGTGCGCAGGCACCCGTCCTTTTACAGCTCCCTTCTACTCTCTCTCTCCTCTTCTTTCTCTCTCTTCCCGGCTTCGTCTCACTCTCTCTCTCTAGATTCCTGTGCACTTTTTTAACCCTCACTTTTCAGTTCTCACCAACACATCACAAAACCTACTATTTTTCTCACTCAAAATTCAATCCTTCAGGAAATTTCTAGGGATCTTTTCAGCCCCTCTCTCTCTAAAATCTCAGTAATTAGGGGTTCTTCAACGAGAAAACCCAAATTTCAGTCCCCTTTTCATCTCTCTTCTATCTAGGCCCATTTTTTTTCCTTTTAGGATTTTCTACCATCCTTCGCTTTTGCCTAAGATTTAATCTATTTTTTGGTTTTTTGGTTTTTTTTTGTTTTAAACTTTTAGGTTTATTGCTTCCCAATGGGACATTTACCTGAGACTTCTCTTTTCTGGTTTTTGTGTGGGCTTTTAGCTGGTGATGATCAGGCCTTTCCATCTTAGAAATTAGGGTTTCATGATCTTTTCTCTCTCAACACCAGCTTTTCTGTCTCAATTCCACTTTTCAGCCTTTCCCTTTCGAATTAGAGAGAGAGAATATAAGTTTTTTAGCTTCCTCACTCTGAACAAGTGGCCTTTCCTTCTGAAATCTAGGCCCTTTTTCACTTGAGCCTGAAGCTTTCACATCCATACAGGGGTTTTCTCTCTCTAAAGATTCTCTCTCTGGTCTACAAGAAGCTGAGAAGTGAGAACCATTTGGTGGTGTTTTGCTTCTTTTCTAAGATTTTACAAGCAAAAGCCATTTTCTCTCTCTAGAGATTCTCCCTCCTGCCAAACCAGAGAAAGAAAGGGTGCTATTTTAAAGTTAAACTATAACAAAAACCAGAATAAAAAACAACCGCCTCCATTAAAAATTATCCTTTTATATACCAGAAAAAACCAAACTTTTTGACAGGGTTTTAACTCCACCAACTTTACTAAAGATTGCAGCTTCTGAGCCATGAATTGCAAAGAAAGAAATCAATAATGAAACCCCATCTGCTTCTTTGCTAAATCCATTTACTGAAAAACCCCACTTTCAATTTACAGAAAAAACCCACTTTCACAAGTAACGAACAGGTCATTATTGACTTGGGTTTTCTAGGGTTTTGTCGAGACCAACTTCATTAAAGGTTGTAACTTTCACCACCTCAGGGAAGAACAGAAGAACAGTCTGGTGTTTGGTTGGTCTTGGATTTCAGCAAAAGGAGCAATGGTAGAGAGAGAAAGGGGAGTATTTCAGCAAAAATAGCAATAGTAGACAGAGAAAGAGGGGGAGGAGGAGAAACAGTTGTGTGGTTAAGTGGAATGGAAACAGAGATTGGTTTACTTTTTGACTTTGGGTTTTCCTGTGTAGAAAAGGGAGAAGAATAGCTCTATTTGTCTGAGCTTTCAGCAGATTACTTTTTGTGATCAGAAGAAGAAGAAATCCTATTCTCTTTTGGGGTTTCATCAAAAGAAGAAGAATACCAGTGTTTTTCTTGAATTTCAGTGGCCCCATCTGCTGAAACAGGAAGAATAAGAAGCAAAGATTGAAAGAGAGAGAAGCTTTAGATAGAGAAAACCAGTGTTTTTCTTCAATTTCAATAGCCCCATCTGCTGAAACAGGAAGAATAAGAAGCAAAGATTAAGAGAGAGAAGCTTTAGATAGAGAGAGCCAGTGTTTTTCTTCAATTTCAATAGCCCCATCTGCTGAAACAGGAACAATTAGAAGCAAAGGTTGAACCAAGAAGAATAAGAAGCAAAAAGAGAAGCTTTAGATAGATAAATAGAGAGAGAGATATCTAGGGTCCGAGCCTACAATGTCGGTGCCATTAGAGCAGTTTCAGCCACCCCCTCTTGCCATGAACCAGGATGCCTCGGCTTCTCAGTCCAGCAATGGCTCTGTAGGCCCTGTGATCATTGCTCTCGCCATTATCGCCATTTTAGGAGTAATCGCAGTGATGATTGGTCGGCTTTGCGGAGGCGGAAGGTTCAGAGGAGAAACGTATGATTTCGAAGGATGGGTCGAACGAAAGTGTGCTTCTTGTATTGATGGGAGGATCCAAACTTCGAGCTCCATTAATGGGGGAAACACAGGTACCGCTGACAGTGGAAGTGGAGGCTCTGTTCCTCTTGCAATACCAATTGAGATCCCAACTGAGACCAAACAAACAGAGCAGCCTTCTCAAAATTCAGCTGCAACCCCTGCTTCTTAAGAGGTTGGGTTCTTTTCTTTTTTCCTTTTTCTTTGTTGTTTTTGTTTCTCTCTCTAGATTTCTTATTTTGGTTCTGGTTTTTGAGTTTTTGAGTCATTTGATCTCTCTCATGGCGTTTTTGATGAGTTGGTTGTTGTAATTTGTAATGGAAAGAGGAGTTCGGAGGAGAAGAGGAGGTTGTAAGATAGGATTTTTTTTTGTTGTATGTGTTTTGGAAGCTTTTCTTGCACTTTGGCCCATCTCTGACCTCCTCTCTCAAGCTTTAATTCAGTAATTTGGAGTCTTGCCAAACTAAAATTTTTGTTGGTCATTTGGAAATTCTCTCTTGGAATAGTACTCTTCCACTTAAAAAAAAAGATCAAAGTTTTCTAAGCAGTATACACCCACCCTACCATTTTTTCTCTCTCCCGAGATCAAAGCGGGTTGGCTACAAATCCTGGTAAGTCATTCTACCCTATTAAGAATCATACGATATCATGATTCCCATATATTTATTTTTATGCGAATTATTGTCTGATTTTCCTGATACGTCATTCTACCTTATTAAAAATCACACGATGTCATAATCCCCATATATTTATTTTTATGCGAATCATTGTCTGTTTTTCACGGCAACCGGACCGCCCATCGTTTATCGGGAATGCCCTGGCTAACCTGGCTCATTTATCCCCCTCTCTCTCTCTCTCCCTCGTTCCTTTAGGCTCTCTCTTCCTTTTCTTTATAATTAAAAGTTCCTTTTAGCTCTCACTTTAGTTGTTCTTTCTTTAGCTCTTCCTTTAGTTTTTCTTTTCTCTCTTGAAAAAGCACCCCTAGTCCTCGAGTTGTGGTTTTCGTTCCCTCTAACACTCTCCTACTATTTTCAAATTAGTAATTCCAAGGATTTTCTAAGGCTAGTTTAGAAGAACAAACATGAAGTAATTTCGAGGATTTTGAATTGTCCTCCTGTTGATTTCGATTCGACTCATCCATGGCGACTTCTGAATAAATGGATTGGTGCTGTTTCTTCCGTCTCTCCTGCCTCTCTCCCTGTATAATGTTTCTCTCTTTTTTGGATTTCACTCTCTTCAATCTCCTCTCTAGCTCGTTGCTCTCTCTTGCATGAGAGTTCATTGGTCCTGTCGTTTGGTGTTTTCTTTTTCACAGTTCGGGTTTCCAAAGGGAGCTCATTTGGGTTCAGAAAATGTAAAAAAATTCAGTATGGGGACTGGGTGTTTTCTCTTATCCTGTTCCTAGATTTTAAATGCGAAGACTCTCGGGACCCATCCCCCTTAACATTGTGATTGTGACTATTATACTTGCATTGTACCACTTTGCTTTTATATTTACAAAATATGGCCCAAGGACCCGGGTCCCGCGGCCTCAGTATAAGCAACTGGGCTTAGGCTAGGACTTGTTGGACGTGTGGACTGGGTTTGCTGGGCTCCGGGGGGCACTACAGTTCCATGGGGGTCTTGATCTACAAAATCTCGGCTGAGAGCTGGCTCACGCTGGGCGGCCTGGGCTAGGACCACGTTGACTCAATCCGGGTTTGGGCGGGTGCGGGGGCGGCTTTAAAATGAAATGCAGTAGTGAGTTCCAATACGCACCAAAGCCCTGCACAACTCTTGTTTTGTTGCCTTGCCTGTGGATCTTAATTGTCTTCTTGTTGCGGTCAAAGTTTAGTGTATTGAGTGAGGTGGTACTGCTTTCTCTCTCTTCTCTTGAATGGCGTGGGTGCAGTAGGTTCATCATCCAATGTCGGGATATTGTACAGTACGCATGTACTTTTGCATTGTTAATTCACACGAAAGGTCAAAATTATTGCCCCGGCAGGAGTAAAAACGCGTACTCCTTTTTCCATTTTGTTTTGGTGGTAATACTGTCATCTACTACTGGATATATGTTCATTCTATGTATTAAATCAGGAAAATGATTTTGATATGGCTGCAGCCTTATCAAAATAAGTAAAGCCTCTCCTCATAACTTATTGAAAATTGCAGTTAAAGAATTAGAAACTTTTTACATCGGCTTAAATATTATGGTCGAAAAAAACAAAAAGATTTCAACCTCGAAAAATAGTGTATGTTGTAACAAATTATTTAGATCACCCATTACGTTATAAAAATAAGTGTTCATAGATCTGCATGATTTGTACTAATTTTTGAGTTTTGAGTTTCATTTCCAGTGCTGGAAATTTATTTTAAAGCCATCATAGAGATTTTTGTTGCTGAAAGTGCTTTTCAGATTAGGATTTGAGGTGAGGCTTTATTTTGTTTTTATAAGGCCTAGGCCTTATAGAAACTGTCAATTTAAAGTAAAAAGTATATATAAGCTTGACACCTTAAATTTTAGAATTAAGTTGCACCTCGAAAATCATCAGAAAACGTTATTTAATATTGGACAACTAATTAATTGATTATCTCGATATTGTCATGCATGGATATAGAAAAAAAAATAATAATAATAATTTCAAGTTCTTAAAATAATTCGTCTTGCAAAACAATATCTAGACTGACCATTTTCAAGATTTTGATGTGATGATAGATTTGCTTGATTTGAACTATTTTTGAAGTTTAATATTTTATAATTAGAGATAAAAATAGATTATCAGCTCATCTTAAACTGTTCAATACCAAAATTGCATCTTATGACAATGTTTAAAGGTGGGCTTTACTTTGATTTTTTACTGTTGGAACCTTATAGAAGAAATTATATTTATAAATTTTATAATAGCCAAAAGATATTATACTGCATCGGGAGTAAACTGGCTATTTACTCTCTTGGGTAAAATCTCACCTAGTTTTAAGTTTGGACCTCAAATTTTGAGGATACAACCTCTACAACCCATAAATTATTCTGAATAAAAGAAAGTTCCTAATTGCACCATATTCACAATTGAAAAATATAATGTCTCAAGATTGGATAGAGACTGTTCAATATTTAGTGGGTGAGATCTAAGTATTAGAAAATTCAAAATTCAAATTTTTTTAAGAATAATCTAATGAATTTTAGGTGATTCCCAAAATTTCAAATTAAAAAAATCCTTCCAAGTGGATCTTCATACCAAAGGAGTAAATATAAACTATACTCCCGTCGGACTATAATATATGTTCCCAAAAAGAAGATATCTTTCCTATCAAAAGATTTTCCTACTCTTGTCGAAAGTATACTATCCATTTACTCCCTCTAGTAAAACTTACTCTAAGGATATCTTTTTTATTTCAAATTTTGGGGATGTGATCTCTATAATCCAACAAACGCCCTCAAAGAAAAAAACAATTCAACTCTCTAAATGCCTAAAAAAATGTCATCCCAAGATTGCATCGGAACCATCCAATTTTTGGAGGGAATAATCTAGATGTTATGAGCTCAAAATCTACTTTATTTTCTTTGTCAATAATCATCTAGTTACAATTTGATGGATCCCAAAACTTCATATCAACAAATATCTCCCAAGTTCGTATTTTGCTTGAGGGAGTAAATGTATGGTATGCTCCCAAAGGAGCGTAGTATATGCTCTCATATTTCATTATGGAGTTTCAAATTTCGTTATGGGTGATGGAAATTAATTTTAGTGCAGTCATGGAGATTTTTGTTGTCAAAAGTGCTTTTTGGACGAGGATCGAGGCTTTATTTTGTTTTCATAAATCCTAAGCCGTATCGTAACCTCATCCGATATGTTTTCATATACAAAGACTATATTAACATGTAATTTGCAATACATAATCATACAAACTTATCATTGTTGTGTAATTTGCAATACATAATCATACAAACTTATCATTGTTGTGTAATGACAGTTATGCAATAATTATATTATTATGTAATTTATAGTAAAAATATAGGGATTTATGACATGATTGAGGTTATAGCACTTGATAGAGCAGAGTGACGGATCAGGATTTATGTACCTGACTTCAAATAGTTAGGAAATGGCTATGATGATGATGACATAATTTATGGTAAAATAATATAATCATAATTATATATTTCATAATTATAGTTTACTATGATGTTAAAAAATAAAATAATTATATATATATATATATATAAACTCTTCCCAACGCCTATAGGTGAAAATGAATCGTGATTTCGCTTATATATATATATAAACTCTTCCCAACACCTATAGGTGAAAATGAATTGTAATTTCGCCTACCCTTATCACCATACAAACTTCATTCACGCGGTCACAATTATCAAGTAGTGTTTCAATTTTTATTTCTTTTCTACAAATCTAAATTACTTGAAATTTGGAGCATGTGTACATCTTAAGTGAGGTGCACCTAATAAAAATATGAAAAAAATAATTAGTAAAATATAAATTAATCAAAATACCCCAAAAAAATTAGGGTTGTAATTTGGTTAATTTAATTTTTACGAATTAGTTTTTTCATATTTTTATTAGGTACGCTTCACTAAGATGTATACACGTCCCAAATTTCATATCATTCCGATTAGTTAAAAAAAATAAAAAATAAAACACTACCTGCAATTGTGACCACGCGATGAAGTTTGAATGGTGATGAGCGTAAGCGAAATCACTGTTCATTTTCGCTTATAGACGTTTTGTAGTATCTTATATATATATATATATGGAAAAAGATCTTGTACGCTCATGTGGGTATTACTACAGTAAACACCCAACAGCCCAGATTGAATCTGGGTCGATCTCACGGTCACAACCTCATTTCGTATTTGAATTTTAAATTTTTTTGTATAAATCCAAATCACTTGAAATTTTAGACATGTGTTCTTAAAAAATAGGTGAATTTAATAAAAATATCAAAAAAAATAGTTTATAAGAAATAAATTGATCAAAATACCCCCAAAATATTTTGGGGCTATTTTGATCAATTTATTTTATACGAATTATTTTTGTGATATTTTTATGTCGTATGCCTTGATGAGAAGAACATACACCTAAAATTTTAGATGATTTGGATTTATAGAAAAAAAATTAAAATTCAAACACGAAATGAGGTCGTGGTCGTCTCGTGACAGTCTGATCGGCCCAGATTCAATCTGGTCTTGGCCGTTGGGCATAATCTTACAGGTACACCCGTCGGCGTACCGTAGCATCTTCATATGTATATATATTGCATGCAACGGTTGGATAGTAGTATAATGCAACCATCTTAAAAAATCATGTTAAAGACATTTGTTTGACACAAATTTTTAAATGTACAATCTTTTCATTCTGAAGAACAATCACAAAAAAGAAAATTTTGAAAAAATGCTCCAGAAAGTTTTTATTCTAGCCAAATTAATATAGCCCGTCCATTTTATTGAAATTATTAGATATAGGCCTCAAAAGGATTTTTTATTCCCAAAATTTTCTGTAGTGTTATCATCATTAGATTAATAATGCTAAACA